AGCCTGCACAGCTTCCTGGACGTCCCATCACCCTTGCCAAACAGCGTCTTGGTGAGCTGAGTGACGGTGAACGAGAAACAGATGGATTTAATTTCCCTTGAAATTAGGGATGGGTGAGCCGAGCCACAGTGTAGAATTGCTGAATGTCTCAAACTTTTTTTTCAAGTGCTTTTGGTTCAGAAAAACCGAAACCATGGTTTCACAAAGCATGTTTCCCCTCATTTGTATGAGGCTTCGTGTATTTTAGGAGGAATTTGATCTGCATATTTCAACTTCTTTACACTTCACTTATTCAAATGCTAAATAAAATTTCTGGGAAGTCTGAGAAATATTTTATAATTTTTTTCCCAAACTTTTATTTAGGAGAGTAAACAGTGGGGAAGTTTGGAAAATCCTATCAAAGAAAAGGTGGACTCAGGTGAAAGTTCACACATTTCAGGGAGTTCTATGTCCCAGAATTACATATGTTAGGTGTGCAGTCACAATGTGCTCAATGAATATATTTTAAAATCTCTTGAACAGTGAGGGGAAGGGTGGGAAAGTTCAATAAGCACAGGCTCAAGGATAGGCTGAAAAATACAACACAATTAAAAATACAACACAATTTAAAACAACTTCTCATCTCTAATAGGCAACGTATTCCTAGTAGCCATAAATCAAACAAAGCTGAACTACAGCATTCTTGTATCATCCACCTGCATGAATTCCACCATTCTGCAGGTGTCTCTTCTCTTAGACATGTGATAAAGGTGATTATAGGATGCTTATGAGTGGAGGGATGGCCAGAGGAGAAGATAGAAGAAATGAACCACAGAAGGTGGGTGGGAGCAGGTGATGGAGTGAGTGCCCAGCGCCATCTTTGTTTTAGAGAATGACTCAGACCACAGACTTACGTATGAGTTCCAAAGAGCTGTTTCTTCTTAAAGCTTAGCTTTCAGTTCCAGGGGACCAAGTAAGACCCAAGGAGGAGAGACGCAGTCATCCGGTCTCTCAGGGAGCTCAGTCTGTTTGTATTGTGCTGGAAGCACCGTGCTTGCTCGTCACCTGACAGGCTGACTTCTGCTCGTAGTGGCTTGGCAGAGAGTGCAGCAATGACACTGCCCCAAAGGAGAGAAGAAGGAAAAGGCAAATCCTTGTGGTATCTGATTACGTTTGTCTCAAATGCCTGGGAGGCATTCCCTGGGGATTCCCTGAAAAAACAATTTGAGATGGGGATTTTCTACAGGGAGCGATAATAATTACTGACAAAATCTAGAGAATAATGTTTATTGTGATTAATATACTTCTCATTTTAATCCCCAGGCTGGTGCAGGAAGCGCAGACATGGATTACATATCTCTTTAAAGCCATGTATTTTCTGGCTTTTATTTTTTTTTCAGATTTTTTAAAAAATATATATTTTGTTGCATTTTAGGTTTTGGGTACATGTGAAGAACATGTAAGATTGTTGCATAGATACACACATGGCAGTGTGGTTTGCTGCCTTCCTCCCCTTCACCCACATCTGGCATTTCTCCCCATGCTATCCCTCCCCAACTCCCCACTTCCTGCTATCCCTCCCCTAATCCCCGCAACAGACTCTAGTGTGTGATGCTCCCCTCCCTGTGTCCATGTGTTCTCATTGTTCAACACCCGCCTATGAGAGAAAATATGTGGTGTTTGATAGGGTTGTGTGGCAGTGACAATAGGAGTTGTCAAATGTTTCTGGGACTCCTCCACATTTCCCAGCAGACTTCCAGGTAGCTAGGTTGGTGGCAGTAATTGATTTGGGCCAACAGGTTGTGGACGAAGTATGTCCTTTTCTTTTCTTTTCTTTATAATATTATTTTTATTTTGTTTTACTTTAGGTGCTGGGGTACATGTGCAGGTCATGCAGGGTTGTTTCATAGGTGCATACATAACCAGATAGTTCTCTGCCTCTATTTCCCCTTTGACTATATCCAGTATTTCTCCCCATGTTATCCCTCCCCACATCCCCTCAGTCCCTCCTCTAGCCCCCTCAACTGCCCCTAATGTGTGATGCTCCTCTCCCTGAGTCCACATGTTTCTGACCATATTGTCGATTCTTCCATTCCTCTCTCCTCTCCCTCAGTGATCTTGGTCTACAATCTGCCAAGATGTTTCCACTATAACGGGCTTCTCATAACGAACTAAACCTTTATTCTGTTAAGCCACTGGGATTTGGTGGGGGTGGGGAAGGTCTTGCTTGTTACAGTAGCTAGTGTTAACTAGCCTGATTAACACAATTGTTAACTAGCCTAATACAAGTTGTACCTTACAACCTATCATTATGATACTCTGATAGTAATAAAGCTGGTGGTTTGGGTAAAATTCTTAGAAGTTTTTAAGAATATAGTAGTGCCTTATATTGGTTATCTACTGCTACATTAAAAACTACCTTAAGGGGTAGTAGTTTAAAACAACAAACATTTATTATCTCAAAGTTTTTGATGGTCAGGAATTTTGGAGTGGTTTAGGTAGGTGGCTCTGACTCAAAGTCTCTCTCATGAAGTGCAGTCAAAATGCTGGCAGGAACCTCGACATCTGAAGGCTTGACTGGGCTAGAGAATGCACTGCTCGTAGAAGCCCTCAATTTATTGTTGGCTTCTGGCTGAAGTTCTCATTTCCTCATCAGATGCTCCTCTTTGTAGAGATTCTCAGGCAAGGGCAGCTAGTATCATTCAGAGAGAGTAATCCAAGAGAGAAAGTGAACAGGAAACCACAGAATATTTTATTACCTTGTATCTCATGTTGCTTCCTCACCTGCCCATTCATTAGCAGTAAGTCACTAAGTCCAGCCACATTCAAGAGGAGGAAAACAGGTTCCACCTTTTCAAGAGGGTTTCAAAGAATTTGTGAATAGATTTTTAAACTACATACACCCCATTGCCCCAGAGTGGGTTTGTAGGTAGCTAAGCGGGGTAGAATAGTGGGTCTCACCTAAGGTAGGGGGTTCAATGATCCAGCATAAATGAGGCTAATGGAGTATGATGGAGTGACTGCTCCTGTCTTACACTACTCCTTAGTCTCATCAGCAGATGAAAGGAGCCCAGACAATTCTATTCTAGCAACCTAGACTGGGCCCCTGACAAGCATCTGCACATGGAGATGCCAAGGTAAGCACAGAGAAATCCCCAGTTGCTTACCCCTGTACATAGACACGATGCAGAGAGAATGAACTCTCATGAAACAGGACATCGTGCCGGTACCAAGCTAGTCCTGGCTTTACAGGCAGGTGGAGTTCTGGCACTGTCCTCTGACATAGCCCCCTCCCATCAACCTCCCAGCTTGCTCAGTGCTACATAGTGTGCTAATTGCTGATACAAACCTTGGGAGTTTGCAGAGGAGGATAATATAGATCCTACAGAAAGAGAAATTCTTCCCTTTGCATAAATCATATGCAAATGAAGTTGATCTTGATTTCAGCCCATGGCAGGAAATGGCAGTAACAATGGAAATATTGGCTCTGTGAAGGCTGGAATTTTCCATCTTTCCTCCTATACTCATGGAGCCTACATAAGTGTACACTAAATAAAAAGCACCTTGCTGCTTTTTCAGAATTAATTGAATGAGCTAGAATTTACCATGGAAGAAGGTGTGGTGGCACGAGAGGGTTGCAGAAGTTGTAGGTCTCTTAGGTTGCTGATGCCAGCAAATTCACCAGCCCAGCCACACTGATGGCAGGCTTGCACCCTGGGGAAATGGTTGTGTGAGTTCCTATAAAATAATAACACTAACACTGGGGTCTAATCCAGTTATGATATAACCCACTCTTGGCTGAGCCCCAAGTGGGATCTGCACCATGGGGAAGGGCAGGGACCAGAGATAAGGGCTCAGTTTATGCCACTCCTTCTCAGGCTGATGGCGTTTACTTGCATAGCCATAAAAAGCAGCCACTGGGGACAGCAGGAGAGTGTGGTAAGGCCGGACATGTTGCATTAGCCTGCCAAACACTATTAGCAGCAGTGGGAGTGGGACATTTCCTTACACTCCCCAGAGCTGGACAGCCACATCAGGCTCTGGGGCCACCCACGTGCTGCAACAGACCTCCTCCCAGCTGCCGGTGTCCAGAAGGTGAAGTCCTTTAGCCTCAGGGAACATAGTTTCTCCTACTAGAAACTGATCAGGAGGAGCCAGAACTCAGCCCTGGGGAAGGTGAATTTCTTTGTCATCTTGGCGTAAGCTTCCCTGGTTGAGACACCAGATTGGTGAAGTATAACATACTGGTTTGAGTTAGTTTTACTTTAACTTTAAGAGGACTTTTAACTGGACCGTCACCCCCTGGAAGCGTCTCATGCAAAGAGCAGCCAAGAAGGCCAGTGTCCATCCCACCAATGACACACAGAAACTGACCATTCACCCCCGTATCCTGCACTGGATTTTCCATACAGCCAACTCAAGTACACATATTGCTTTGCCAAGTGATGCTTATCCTTGTCTTCACTGACCACAGTGATTACGTTTCTCCTCCTTAGACTACATGGGAGGGTGCAGGGAAAGACGGTTGGAGCAGGAGATCTAGTTCCTATGCTCTGGCAGTGAATTTGCTGGGCGACCCTGGTCAAGCCCATCAACCCATTTGTGCCTCCTCTCGTGGCCCTTGTTCAGATGTGCGGGGATTCCATGACTGATTTTCAGTGTTGGTCTCAAGCATGCAGCCGCCATTTGGTGCACAGTTGAGGATTAGCATATCTTTATGATCACTAATGAGGGAAAGAAAACTCCAGAGAAGCTCTTTGGAGAAACCTAAGACTAATACAATGAGCTAACCATACTGCCAATCAAATTTCATTAAGAGAAACCCAAATTATTGTCCTTTTTCTAAATGAAAACAATAATGGCCTTAACTAACATTTTCTGGGCTCTAAATGTGGACCTTGCAGTGTCTAGATATTTTACACGTTGTTTTCGTTCCCTCCTGTTCACCCCATTGGTGAGGGAGAGATCCCGCACTAGAATTATGAGGATGACTAAACACATTACACCGGACGCTTAAAAGATGAAATTGACAGCAGTTATTATTCACATACACTTGCACCTTGGAAGAGGTGCACACAGCATTGGATGCCAGCCACACAGGCGTTGCCCTCAGGAGCAGAGTGAACAGGCAGGGGCAGCGGGTGGTAACAAGAGGGTGAGGTGCCCCTGGTTCCTGCGGAGTATGTGATGGGCTTTGAACAACTCCATGACTGGCAGGAAACTGATACCCACTACTCAGGGATAAGTAGGAGCTGTGCCTGGTCCACTTGATGAGGAAGGTTGCTTGACTGAAGCCTTATCTGCAAGAGTAGAATGGAGAGAGGCTCTTGTGGTTAGGCCAGTAGAGGAACTGCTGACTTGACCAGATTTGAAGGCAGCACACCATACCAAGCCTTAATTTCAGGGTTTACATGACACACACATCATATTATTTCATCATCGCAACACTCCTGTGAACTACTATTACGTCTTTTCACAGATCATGAAATTGAGGCTTAAATGGGGCAAAGCAAATTGCCCAGTGTTTTCTAGCTGGCAAGTGGCCAAGGTATTCAGTTAGGTTTGTTCACCTCAGAGTCTGACCCAATAAGCAACTGTGGACAGGTAGATGTAACAACCCATCTTAGATATGAATCAAGAAAAAAGAAGGACAAGGGGGCACACCCTACCTCGAATATCCAGAGAGCTCAACCAAAACACACACAGTCTTTTGTTCTGTCTGCCATTTGACCTTCTGAGTCCCAGGCTACCTTCCGCAAGGCCGCTGGGTTAATAAAGCCGCCTCAGCGACCACCAACAGCAGTAGCTCTGCCTCACACGGTAATCAGTGGTCCCTGAAGGGCCTACAGCCCAGCTGCTCAGGACACACTTTTGATTCTACAGCCTGGGGGAAGAGAACCCATCCATGCAGATCAACCAGCTCCCAGGTGCTTCAAATTCCCAATGCCAGGGACAGCCCCAGTCAGTCATTGTTTTGCATGTGCATGCTGGGTATGTCAAAAGGACTTGATGTTCTAGAATAAATTCTTCTATACAGAAAAGAGGCTTTAGATCTCTTTCAGTCCAAATCCCTCGTTTTATGGTTAAAGAAAGTAAAGTGGTCTCCCCAAGGCTACAGTAAAGCTCGTTAGGGCAGAACCTGCGGGGATCCCATTCCCAAACCCTTTCCCAACTCCCTCCTCCCATGCACACCTCCCACTATGAAGTGGAAGAAGGAGAAACTCTCTTCCGCAGCACCCTTTGCAGATAGGCTCACTATGTGACCCATTCCAGACTTTGTGCGGAAAGGGAATCTGCCAGGGGGAGTCTGGGAGCGGCGTTTCCTCCTTGATAGAAAGAAAGCATGGGGAAAGAGCTCTCTCACTATCCTCTCCAACCCCTACCTCCCATAAGAGCCAGGACCTGAGGCTTGAAACCAGAGGTGTCGTTTGGCCATGAGGGAAATTTCAGAGATGCAGACATCGCAACTCAGCCTCATGTAGCTGCTAAGTCAACCCCCAACTGCCCTTCCTGACTCCTCATTCAGTAATGATTAATCCAAGTTTAAACCACCGTTAGTCATGTTTTCGCTTCTTTGCAGCCAAACACCCTCCTCTGAGCAGCATTCCCTAGAGTCAGGCAGATGGTCAATACTCAGCAATGTCACTCACTCACGAGACCCAGGGCAAGAACTGTTTCTTTGTCTCAGTTTCCCTTTTTGGAAAATGGACATATACTTTTAATGGAGGTGCTCTAAAGAATTGGTCCTCGACCTTTTTGGCATCAGGGACTGGTTTCACTGAAGACAATTTTCCCATGGCCCATGGGTTGGGGGCGGTGAGAAATGGTTTCAGGATGACTCAGCATGTTACATTGATTTTGCACTTTATTTTTATTATTATTACATTGTAATATAAAATGAAATAATTATACAACTCGCCATCATGTAGAATCAGTGGGAGCCCTGAGCTTGTTTTTCTGCAATGAGTCAGTCACATCTGGGGGTGATGGGGACAGCGACAGATTCTCACAAGCAGCATGCAGCCTAGATCCCTTGCATGTGCAGTTCCAAGTGGAGTTTGCCATGAGAATCTAATGCTGCCACAGATTCGATAGAAGGTGGAGCTCAGGCAGTAATGTGAGCAAGGGTGGGTGACTATAAATACAGATGAAGCTTCCCTCACTTACCTCCTGCTGTGCAGCCCAGTTACTAACAGTCCAGGACTGGTTACCCATCTGTGGCCCGAGGTGGGGGGTGGTTGGGGACCACAGCTGTAAAGCTTGAAATATTGATAAAGAGCATATAATACTTTGGGAGGCCGAGGCAGGTGGATCACAAGGTCAAGAGATCTAGACCATCCTGGTCAACATGGTGAAACCCCGTCTCTACTAAAAAAGTACAAAAAATTAGCTGGGCATGGTGGCGTGTGCCTGTAATCCCAGCTACTGAGGAGGCTGAGGCAGGAGAATTGGCTGAACCCAGGAGGCGGAGGTTGCAGTGAGCCGAGATCGTGCCATTGCACTCCAGCTTGGGTAACGAGAGCGAAACTCCGTCTCAAAAAAAAAAGAGAGCATATAATATGTTCTAGCTCACAATTGACTGTTAGCTAGTATTATTTCATTATTCTCTCAGCCTACTTCACAGTGTCTCTCCAACACAGAGCTCCTCAAAGCTTCTGACAATACAGGTGAATTACCTGGAGATCTCGTTTAAATTCAATTTCTGATTCGAAAAGTCTGCAGTGGGCCTGAGACTGCATTTCTGAAATCTTTTAGAGTATGTCTGTGCTGCTGGTGCTCAGATCACACTTTGAGAAGCAAGACGGTGGGACCCTCTGGGTCTGTTCCTTACTAGTTCAGCCTCCGAGCTGGTGGATCTGCTCTAATAGAATGCCCCAACCTTCTCACTATACTCCCAGGAGCTGGTTCCTACAGTCAGACTGTCTTTGCATCCAGCAGCATCCTCATCAAATTCTCATTCCTGTGTTGAGCCAGTGACTCAGACACTGCTTCTCTGGGTCTAGTGGTTGTCCTTGTCAATCACAATGTCACCCTCAATGGCCCATGCTCTAGCCTAGTCAGAGGGAGCTGGATGTACAGTAAGACAGGTATATGGAAGAAATCTGGGGCTCTTTGAGGATTTCATTCAAAGTAGGATGCAAAGGTTTAGGTACTTCAAAACTGGAGCCACCTGGGGACCTTGGTCTCAGGATGACGTATGTTATGATAACCCCTTGGATTAGAATCCATGAGCGCCTTTGATCCAGCATTGTGCTCCAGCATGGGAACCTGCTGAAAGTTTGTCCTGACCCAGTTCATCTCATCTGCCTGCCTGCACCTCTAGCACAGCCTGCCTGTACCTCCGTCAGTTGCCTGTGCCAGGTGTCTCATTCCCTTCCTTCCACCTGTGAAGAAGCCCAAAACCTGCTGTGAGCTCTACTTCTTGCCTTCACATACCTCTTCCCCTTCTTCTCCCTGCACTGTCTCCACTGGGTCTCCCCACACTGCTGCTCCCCAGTCCTGTGCTTTGCTCTCCATCCTGCTGAAGTTCACCTTTTTCCTTCCAGATTGTCTCCACTGGGTCTCCCCACACTGCTGCTCCCCAGTCCTGTGCTTTGCTCTCCATCCTGCTGAAGTTCACCTTTTTTCCTTCCAAACTGTGCCCTCATTTCCCCTCTATCTTAGTCCATTTTGTGTTGCTATGACTATAATAGACTGGGTAACTGATAAAGAAAATATATTTATAAAATGTATTCTCACAACTCTGAAGTTCAGTGTCAAGGTGCTGGCATCTTGTGAAGGCCTTCATGCTGTGTCATTGCCAGGCAGAGGACAAGACAGCAAGAGATGGCCAAACATGCTATTATAACAAGCCCAGCCTCGTGATGACTAACCCGCTCCTGCAATGATAACATTATTCTATTCATGATGGCGAAGCCCTCATGGCTTGATCACCTCCTAATGGTCCCGCCTCTTAATGCCATCACGATGGCAGTTGAATTTCAACACAAGTTTTGGAAGTGCTGTGTTTTGATTATGTGTCCCCTTCAAAAAGTATGTTGAAAGTCTCAACATAACAGCAGTATTAATAGGTGGGGTGTTTAAGAGGTGAGTGGGTCATAAGCGCTCTGCCTTCATGAGAAGATCAAGCCATACGTGAATTATTGGATGAATCAGTTTTCACAGGAATGAGTCTGTTTAAAAGCCAGCTTGGCTCTCATTTTTATACCCTGGCCATGTGAAGTCCTGAGCCATATTGTGATTCTCCAGAGTCCCCAGCAGCAAGAAGGCTCTCACCAGATGTGGCCCCTCAACACTGAATTCCTAGAACTGTAAGAAATGAATTGATTTTCTTTATGAATTATCCAGTTTAAGCAACAGAAAACAGAATAAAGCAGGAGGGGACATTCAAACAACAGCATTCCAATCATGACCCCAAACGAATGTTTTTCTGACAGACAAAATGCATTCATTCTATCTTACTAGCCCCAAAAGTCGTAACTCATTTCAGCATCAACTCCAAAGTCCAAAGCCCAGAGTCCAATCTGAATTAAAAATGGGGAGACTCAAGGCATGATTTATCCCGAGGCAAATTCCTCTCCAGCTACGACCTATGCAATTAACAGGTTACATGCTTCCAAAATACAATGGTGGGACAGACATGAGCTGGACATTCCCATTTCAAAAAGGGAGAAAAAGTAAGAAGAAACAGACAACTGGTCCCAGGTATTAATAAATCTAAAACCCAACAGAAAGAACGACAGGAAGCTCCAGAATAATCTGCTTTGACTCCATGTCCTGGGCACTCTGGGGCAGGAGTTTGGCTCCCAGGGCCTCAGGCAGCCTGCCCAACCCCTGCAGCAGTTCCAACTCCACATTTGTGCTCAGCATTTTCCGAGTCAAACTCTCCATGATGACTCTGCCTCCATGACAAGTCTTCACCCGGGCCCCAGGTGGACCGTGACAGGCTTTAAAATCTAAGAGGAGGTCTCTGTGCCCCACAGCTCTTGCATTCTATGTGCCTGCAGAGTTAGCACCATGTAGATGCTGCCAGTGTTTACAGCTTGTACCTTTTGGAGCACTGGGTTGAGCTACACTTGGGCCCTCTTGAACCACAGTTGGAGCAGCTGAGGATCACTGCACCAGGATGTAAAAATAGAGACCCAAGGTGGTCCTGGACAGTGAGCCTGTAAAGGGCACCCAGGTCCATCCCCCAAAACCATTCTGTCCCCTTAGAGCTCTGGATCTGTGATTGAGGGCAGCCTTGGAAAATCTCTGAAATGCCTTTGGGGTCATTCTTCCACTGTCTTGATGACCTCTTCCATCTGCACTACTCTGAGTTGTGGGGCACAGTGACCTCCTCGTAGATTTTAAAGCCTGTCACGGTCCACCTGAGGCCCGGGTAAAGACTTGTCATGGAGGCAGAGTCATCATGGAGAGTTTGACTCGGAAACTTAGAAAACAGTTTGTGGGCCACAACCTTGGTTTTCTCATTTGAACACATTTTCACTCTTCAAATGGTCAGGCTGAAAATTTTTTAAATCTTTCTATTCTGCTTTTTTTAAAATTATAAATTCCATCTTTAACTAAGTCATTTTTCCTTCTTGGATCTTACTATATGTAGTTAAAAGTATCTCCACAACTCCTCTAATACTTTGCTTAGAAGTTTTTTCTACTAGATATTCTAGTCAGTCTCTCTTAAATTCCACCTTCCATAAAGCCCTACAGCATGGACACAATCTGGCCAAGTTCTTTGCCATTTCATAACAAGGATGCTCTTACCTGCAGTGTCCAATAAGATATCCCCCTTTTCCACCTGAGACCTCATCAGAATGGCCTCCACTGTCAGTATTTCTATCCACATCCCCCTTTTCCACCTGAGACCTCATCAGTATGGCCTTCACTGTCAGTATTTCTATCCACATCCCCCTTTTCCACCTGAGACCTCATCAGAATGGCCTTCACTGTCAGTATTTCTATCCACATCCCCCTTTCCACCTGAGACCTCATCAGAAAGGCCTTCGCTGTCAGTATTTCTTTCCACATCCCCCTTTTCCACCTGAGACCTCATCAGAATGGCCTTCACTGTCAGTATTTCTATCCACATCCCCCTTTTCCACCTGAGACCTCATCAGAATGGCCTTCACTGTCAGTATTTCTATCCACATTCTGATCATGGCCACTCAAGTAATCTGTAAGAAGCTTCCTGTTCTCCCTACAGCTTGCCTCTTGTTCTGAGCCCTCTCCAGAATAGTCCTTACTACTCCATTTATGGATATCTAGGTTTTTTCTAGCGTACTCTTCCAAATGTTTTCAACCTCTATCGATTGCTCATTTCCAAAGCTGCTTTCACATTGTCAGGTATTTGTTATAGTAACAGCTTCCATTCCCAGTACCAACTTTCTATCCATTTTGTGTTTCTATAAACACGGGCTGGGTAATTTATAAAGGAAAGAAATTTACGCTTACGGTTCTGAAGGCTGGGAAGTCCAATATCGAGGTGTTGGCATCTGGTGAGGACCCTTGTGGTGTGTCACCCCATGGCAGAAGGTGGAAGGCAAGGCAGCATAAAAGAGCAAGAGAGCGAGAGGGGACCAAACCCTGGAATAACCAGCCTACTCCCATGATAGGTAGCCAACTCCTGCAACAACATGATTGTGTTCTTGAGGTTCAAGCCCTTGTGGCCTCATCACCTCTAAATACCTTCACACCAGCAATTAAATTTTAACATTAGTTTTGGTGGGGACATTCAAATCATAGCTCTCTCCAATCCTCTCTTAACATCTTTTATAAGCCTCTAGTTTAAAATATGCCAAATGCCACTATCATTCCTTGTTTGAAACATGAGTGTCTCCCCAGTCACTGAACTTTCTGAAGTCAGGGACAGCCTGTCATCCTGGATCCCTTTCCTGGCTTGGCCCTTCCCCTGGCCCTTCCCTAACACAGGTACCTGTGTCACTCTAGAAGCCAAAAAGCACAGGCACTCACCTGTGTTTTTCCTTCCTTGTTTCATTGCCTTCATCAACCTTCTGATCAAGGTAGCCAGAAGCTGCTGTATGATCAAGGCAAAAAAATGAAATCTCAGAATTATTAATCACTTCTAATGTGCCAGGTACCCTGATGAGAAATTTATGTGTGCCCATTTAACTAATTCTTACAACTATTATTCCTACTGGATTTCTATCATCTCTACTTTACAGAGGCAGAAATGGAGGCTGAGGGCAGGTAAAAGGAATATTGCTTGAGGTTGCACAGCCAGGAAGAGAAGAAGTGGAGCCAGGAGCCCAGCCTCTGTTTGCTTCTAGCAAAAGGGCTCAAGGAAATGTCAGCACAAACCTGATTCCTGACTGGCTTCTCCTTTTCATCAGTGGACAAGCTGGTGGAAAAGTCGAGGGTCCTGTTTAAAAGAGAGATTAGTTAAATCACTGAGTTTTGTTTCCTCCCACCAAACTGTGAGTTGTTATTGCAAGATCCCTGAGTCAATGCCAATATTCTACAGTCCTAGGAGCTTAAATACACTTGGCAAGCAACACCCTGTTATATGCTTTCCAATACTTAGAGGCATCTGTGAATTCAGATCTTAATGCAGTATATTCTTCTCGGGCTGCATTTTCTGTCTGAAACTGAGAATGAATTTTGGATGATGTGGTTAGCATAGAACATGCTTCATCCAGGACTCAGCTACGATAACAAAGCAGGCACATTGGCCAATGTCAAGTGTGAAGGCTCAACTATGCCCTTGCTGTGTGAAAGGCCGCCGGGCAGATGCCAGGACAGACACCGAACCAGGCTTCAACACAGCCTCAGGAGAAGTTCGTGCCAGGCTGTACTTGATCTGGTCTCCCATGTAACATAAATGATCCTGGAGACCAGGGTCCTGCCAAGAGACTTCCAGGTAACTCCAGGAGTCCCAGAGGCTGTGAATCTCTGCACCATACTTTAAATTTCTACAGAGCCCAAATGCCTGTCTCCTCCTCAGCTCCTTTTGAAAAGGAACCTGGGTAAACCGTGGACCATTAAGAGTAGACAAAGTTTTGCCAAGTCCTTGGTGCTATGTAGGGAGAGCTTCTCAGAATGTTCTACTGAGTCTCTCTCTAGCTGCAAAGAGGGCAAATGAGCACCTGGGGTTTGGAGGGATAGCTTGAAGCAGCCTCATAACTAGCATGGAATGTTTTTGAAGTCTTGTATTTACCTTAATAATTCATGAGAATTTTATATTTCTTTCCATACTATACCAATGTCTATTTTATATTAAATATAGCATTAATGATTGCCTGAAACATGACAAAATTGATGTCCCAGAAAGTTGTACTCACAGTTCTCCATCGGCCACCCTGGGGGAACATATGCACAGTTCGAAAGCACAGATGAATGGAGTTCATCTCACTGATTATTCTAGAACCTTCTCCAGCCCACACTTAGAAAATCTACAGGCAGCCAGGGGCTTGAACCTAAGCAACATGCACACCAGTTCAGACCCAATTAAAGGGCAGAGTTTCCACAAGATATTTGCACACAGGCTTAAGAAGCCTTTTAGAAGACAAACAAACAAAATACCTCACCACAAGGTAGGACTCCTAATATTTTGGATTCTCTGGACACTGATGTAGTCTACAGAGATCCTCCCCAGAAAAACAACATCAACAACAAAACACCACATTTCTTAGGTCAGTGTGTTCTTCAGAGATTTCCAGAGACCTCAGGCCATCCATGGATCCCTAAGACTGTAAAGATTCCCACTGAGACCCTTTGTCCAAAGGCCCCTTGTAGAGGGCATCCGTTTTCTTTAAATGTTTTGAGCCAACATATAAACATTAAGAACGTTCACACTGATGTCTGGATACTGGAGACTTACAGCTTTGGGCCTGTGCGAACTCAAGGCTCCATGGAGGGGAGGAGCAGCCGCTGTCCCTGGAGCTGGGCTTTCCTGTTCCCTCTGCTATACCATCCACATTCCTCCTTCACAGAACCCACCGGCCCCTGTGGCAGCTGAACTGGTGAATCTTGTCATGTCATTAGGCCATCATGGGGGACATCAGGCCCTGACAGTGGACAGGAGCCATCTGGAGTCCATGATGGTCATCGCCTGCCTCAGCTCTCCTTCTACCGAGCCCTGCTGCAGGTCTGTGGCTGGAGGGAAGCTGGGACAAAGCAGCAGAAGAATCTTCAGATACATCCAGCACTGAGAACACTGGTCTCAGTGGAGGAGTTCAATGCCCCATACGGGGAGGATTGTTCCCAATCCACTTGGAATGGAGCCATGAGGGTGAGTGGAGGGTCAGTCTGCGACAGCCATGGGACAGAAACAGCTTCCCACACAACATTGGCACCCTCCCTTGGCACAGTGGCAGTTGCAGCAACAAAGTAACACAAATTGGGTGGCTTAACACCACAGAAATGTATTCTCTTGCCATTCTGGAGGCCAGAAATCTGAAGTCAAAGTGTCCACAGGACCATGGTACCCTCTCTAGACTCAAGAATAAAATCTGTCATTTGCCTCCTCCAGCTTCTGGTGTCTCCAGGCATCCATTGGCTTGTGGCTGTGTCACTCCAATCTCTTCTTTCTGTGTCTGTGTCTTCTCTTCTGTCTCTTCAGAAGGCTTCTGCTGTTGGATTTGGGACCCACCTAATCAATCAGGATGATTTCATCTGGAGATCCTTCCCTTAATTATATATGAAAAGATTTTATTTTCCCAGATGAAGTCATACTCACAGGTACTGGGGATAGGACTTGGACATTCCTTTTGGGGGTCACCATTCAACCCATTACCCAGCTTCTTTTCAGCCATTGGCAGATGTCACAGGAAACAGCAGCCCCTGATAACAAGGGTCAGTCATGGTGGTGGCATTGCCAGTGTTCATGGCCCTCCATGAGCCAGGCCTGATTGGGGAAGAGAACCACATGGCAATTTGACATGGATGCCCTTGGTAATGAGCACAAAAGCCCAACCCAAAAACACCAAGAGAGCTCTGGGAGGGATGGAGGTGCATTGAAGAGGTCCTGGAAGAGTGAGTCGGGGCTCAGCATGTGAACATGCTGTGAGCTATTCACACCCCATGGCTGCTGAGGCATGGGAAAGTGCTTCATTGGCACAGCTGCACCCTCACGAGAATCCTAGTCTCATCTGAGTCCACCTCTCCATGCCTCAAATCCAAACCAGTGTGTTCCCCTCTCAAGCTCTGCAAACCAGCATGGGGTGAGCCATGCAACGCCCACTGAGCTCTTCATGTGAAGTTCCTGTGCTGGAGTGCTCCTCTCCCTAGAGCTCTAGATGGAGAGACAGAGAGGCATTCTCCAATCACCAGGGAAAAGTCAGGTGGGGATGCCAGAGCAAAGTCAGGTGTAGATTCCAGAGGATTTTATGTTCCTATTCCTGTCCCTTATTTAAAAAGTGAGCAGCCTCTGTGTTCACTGTCCCCTGGTGAAACGCACTAGAAATGAAGATAGATATTGCTTGGCTTTGATCTTCTGGAAGTCTAAGCCTCTGTCGGATTTCAGGGAATCTACTGAGCTGACAAAAGAAAAGGGCTTAGGGGTATTTATGACTCCATATCACACTGCTAAAAAGAACTACCTGGAACTGGGTAATATGAAGAAAAGAGGTTTAATTGACTCACAGTTGTGCAGGCTTAACAGGGAGCATGACTGGGAGGCCTCAGGAGACTTACAATAATGGCGGAAGGGGAAGGGGAAGCAAGCACATTGTACCGTGGTGGAGCAGGAGGGAGAGAGACAAGGGGGAAGTGCCACATGCTTGATCGGATCTCATGAGAACTCACTATCGTGAGAACATCAAAGGGAGACGTTCGCCCCCAGGATCCAATCACCTCCCACCAGGTCCCTCCCTCCACACGGGGGATTGCAACATAAGATTTGGATGGGGACACAGAGTCAAACCATATCAGAGTGGAAACAAAAGATAGTGGACCAAAAACAAGGAACAACATTTCCCCACATCAGGCAATTTTCCCAGGCCTGGGAGACATTCTCTCGGGGTGTGGGGAGGAGACTGGGACAGGTTAGCAAGATCCCAGGAAAGGGGCAGCTGCCTGGTCTTCTTAGGTACATCAGAAAAGTATCCTCACCCCAAATGGGGGCTAGAAGTAGCTGAGAACCTCAGGTCTGATTGCCCCGAGGGCCAACCAATGGACTGTAATGTGTATGGACTGATGATGAGGGTCCACCCCTGCCCCCACCCCACTCAGCAGTTCCACAACCTACATATGTCCCTGAGACCATGATCTGGTCACAGAGCGAGGAGAGTGCCTTTGTTTGTGAAGGCTGCCCCAACAATACCATAGACTGGGTGGCTTCAACAACAGATTTTTTTGGTAGCTGGTCTAGAGGTCAGAAGTCCAAGGTAATGGTGTCACTGGGCTTGCTTTTTCTAAGGTCTCCCTCCTTGGCTTGTGGACGGTTGTCTTCTGCCTGAGTCTTCATGTAGGCTTCCCTCCGTGCCTGTCTACTCCCCAATCTCCTCATTACAACATGGATCACACGGATTTAGGGCCCGCTCTAACGACCTCATGGTAACTTACTTGCCTCTTTAGTGATCCTTTCTCCAAATATCATCACATTCTGAGGTACCGCAAGTTAAAACTTCAACAGAAGAGTTTGGGGAAGTCAAAATTC